GGCCAGTCCATGACGTTGACTCCCGCATTCTGAAGGAAATTCCTTGTCAAAATTGCTGTTTGGGGTCTGGCATTGTCGTGTTGGAAGATCAAACCGGGTCCATGTGCTGCAATAAAAGGCAGAAGTTGTGGTGCCAGTACCTGGTCGCGGTAAGCAGCAGTGTTGAGGTTGCCACGGATGACAAGAAGCCTGGAACGTGCATTGCCACAGAAAGCACCCCACACCATGACCCTTCCGCCTCGAAATCTGTCAACTTCCTGTACACAAGACTGGGCGTAACGTTCATGACGGCGCCTCCACACCCTCGCCCTACCATCAGCAAATCGAAGACTAAATCGGGATTCATCACTGAAGACGACTTGATTTCAATTCCTCTGAGTCGATCGTAAGTGAGGCTGTGCCCACAATTGACGTTGACGTCTGTGTAATTGAGTCAAAATCGGCCCGCAGTATGGCCGTCGTGCTTGAAGGTGAGCAGTTCTCAGACGGTTTCGAACAGTTTGCGCACTCAGTCTACCCCTAAACAGTTCATTTCTGGTTGATGTAGCCGTCAAAAATCGGTTACGGAGGTGATGTAAGACAATCTGACGATCCTCTGCATGTAACGTCAAACGTGGTCGACCTGGCCGAGGGCGATCAGCGGTGGTACCCGTTTGCTGTAGACGCGTCTGTAAATCATAAACAGTCCGTCGACTACAACCCATCGTCCTTGCGACTTCAGCTACGGACGTTCCCGTCTGCAACATGCCGATGGCACGTTCACGTTGCACATTTGAAAGGCGTGGCATGACAAATGGCCGTAAAGACTTTTGTTTTCTTGTGTTTGTCTTTTTTTGTTAACGACTCCTAACAAGTATGGCTGAAAACACGTGCGGTATTATGGCCACGCGACCAGTTGCACGTGAAAAACCACTTTTGCCACTATAGTGCTGTGCACATGATTTTGATCGATTCACCTGCACAAAAACGGGTGTTATCTGAAGACAATACGTGGCCATTACTGTTTAAATACACAATAAGGGCCCACAATGATAACTGGTCAAAATGTTAAAATTTTAGGATTGTGAAGTTTTTAATTTGGTTCAGTATACATGTATATAGTGCTAGCTGTACTAATCTATTAATCATACTATATTTGGCTGATGTGGATATGCAATCTTATGCGATTCAAGGAAGAGAATACATGGATGTCAACTTTTTTATTATGAGGAACACAACGTTTCGGAGCACATGCTTATTCCTTTATCGGGTGAATGAATGCCATGAGGCAGAGAGCATATATATGTACATGTAAGGACAACAAAATAAGATAACAAAAGGTGGAAACAAACAAAGGGTAGAAACTAACAAGGGAAGCCGACAGATGATGCGCTGATAGGTGATTAACAATAGACAATGGAACCAACACTATACACTAATTAGCGCTGAATTTGCCCAATGTCCATTACCTATTACCTATCTTATAAGTACTGGCTGCCATACCTTCCAAGCTAATCACTTGCAAACACCTCTTCACCGAAGACATCAAAGGTCAGAGCAAACATGACATATGACTCAACCTTAAAACTTACCATGAAAATATTTGAAACGAAGCTGGTAACTTTGATGTAACTTTAATAACTATTATGACGCCACAATGTTTACAGACAGGATGTTTTGGCACTGTTGTGTCACAATCACATGACCTTCATATTTCACAATACTCACTGTATTTATTTCATCGTGTTCTAGGCAGGCGGATTTATGTGGTTGATGAAGCACAGCTATTTTCCTAAGGAATTTTCTGGGACAGTTTCTTTTTTTGTAAAATAACTTTAAATATGTATACTGAACAACAAAAGTTCCCGTGACATTGAATAAGATTTAATGCAAAGTTATGTTTTTTACCAAATCTGAATCAATTTCGTTTTGCAACAGATAAAAAACTCCTGTAAGTGTTCAAATGGTTTATTTGCCATACTGACTTCAGAAAATGCGTGATTTCATAAAAAAAACATGAACATGCCAAAATGTCAATTTACAAATCAATAGCGTGTGTGTCCACCCCTGGTTGCGATGCAAGCAACACATCTTCGTCTCATGGAATCGACCAGGCGTCGCACAAAGTCCTGTTGGATATCTGTCCATATCTGCTGGGGCATGTTTCGAAGTTCCTGGAGTGTCTGTGGAACACGTGGTTGACGTCGAAGGCGCCGATCCATCTCATCCCACATGTGCTCGATTGGTGAGAGATCAGGGGAGCGAGCCGGCCAGGGGATGACATTCACGTTGTTTTGTTGAAGAGAATCCTGAACTAGTCGAACAATATGAGGCCGGGCGTTGTCATGTTGAAAGGTAATGCCTGGGCCATGACGACTCTGATGATCTCGTCGCGGTAGCGCTGTCCATTGACATTTCCCTCTACCACTATCAAACGGGTCCTCTGTCTTGCTGTAATCCCACCCCATACCATAACGCTGCCGCCCCCGAACCGATCTTCTTCCATGACACAATGATTGACGTAACGTTCACCTCGATGTCGGTAAACTCGAATCCGTCCATCGCTGTGGCTGAGGTGAAAATGAGACTCGTCAGTGAATAGAACTTGTCCCCACTGCATGGCCGTCCAGCGTAGACGCTATCTGCACCACTGTAGACGTGCTTGACGGTTGTTTCCTGTCAAAATGGGACGTATGGTAGGTCTCCTGGCGACAATCCCTGCACATCTGAGGCGACGACGTACGGTTTGTGAAGATATTCGTCGAAGGCCAGGGATGCTTCTTGCAGTCACTGTTGCTGGCTGGAATCCATTTCGTAGGTGTGTTGTTCGAATCCAGTTCTCTTGTCGATTATTGGTTACGCGTGGCCTGCCACTCCGAGGATGGTCTCCGACTGCATTCGTCTGTTGCCAACGTTGCCACAAACACCAAATGGTGTTTCTGTGGACGTTAAATTGTCCTTCAACATCAAGTTGACTCGATCCTGCTTCAAGCATACCAATGGCTCGCAGACGCTCATTTTCGGACAGGCATGGCATTTCGTAATGTTAAATAATTGCGTAATAGTGTTGTTTTTCTGAGTGGTTGTTGTCAGCACGATGCTAAACAATGCATTTGGAATCCCGTTAACGCACATGTTTTTATACCGATTCTTGGGTAGTGAAATGCATGGGGCTTGCATAAAAGTCAATTTTTGCATGCTTTTCTGTAGCAGTTGCGTTTTTTTGTCCATACATGTACTACAATTTTGAAAAACAAACTTTACTTGTTTGAAACATACACTAAAATATTGGTGTCACGGGAACTTTTGTTGAGTATATATCTATGAGTTAGTGAAAATATGATTCATTCAGTATGATTTGGGCTATTAAAGGAAATGCAGACAACAGTATTCCACTGTGGCAAATGCTCAGGTTGATTTACAGTTTATTCACAATTCTAAGAGGGGTTGGCATTTGGGTTTTACCGGCTACAAGATCCTGATTAAGACCTGACGTCAAACTTCCATTCATTTGAAATGTTCCCAAAGAAGTTGTCCGACCACCATACAACACCGCGAGGCACAATAAAGGTCACTGAGCAATGAGTGACGCCAACCAATTATTTCGAGCGGTGGCATTCAAATGTATCTTGTAAAATTGATATTCGCAACAAAATCGCAATATTTTATTCTGTTTGAATTTACTTGCCCTTTAAGAGCGATTGTTGAAACTGTTATTTTTATTCTGCAACGCGAATGCAATTAGCAACTGTGCTCACAACAAGAAACATCTTATGAGCAATTGCAAAACGAAGTAAGTAGACGACGCATCCAACAAAGTCCATCTGAAGTCATGTCTAAAGGCTAATATTCTTCAAATTTCACTATTCTGCATGTTTCTCTCATGTCATACAGATGCACAAATTGATTTATCTTTAATGATGACTAGTTATCTATGATCAGGACAACGTATGTACATTAAGGAGGAATAACTTCGATGTAGTTGTTACATGTCTTTTACAAATTTTCAAATAAAATATTAAATGGATAATAAATTTCACATTTGTTAAACACAGGTTGGCAATCGGAATGGGTTTCTTTGGCCTCAGCATGAACGTCACCAACCTCTCTGGCAACGTCTACCTCAATTACTTCCTGTTTTCTGTGGTAGAAGCATGTTCATATGCTCTCTGTATGCTCTTCATCAGCCGGATTGGTCGGAGGAAGCTGTTGTGTGCGACTATGTTGATGGCAGGAGCTGCGTGCTTTTCTACTTTCATTCCCTTCTTTGTCACGAAAACGCGTAAGAGTTATTGTGTTTTTCTTTCCAACTTGTTTTCTCGTTATTTTAATAACAACATCAAGTGATGGAGTTCACTGATGAACATCTTAAACTGACAGATCCTAATATCTAATACACTGATGAAGTTCCAATACATACATGTTCAGTGTTCATCCTGTCACTATGCATTATTATTAAGGTTGACCGTTTAAGGTCAGCTCAGGATGGGGGCAAGTTAATGATTAACTCAAATAAAGATAGGGAGAGATGGCGATTGATGTGGTCATAACTGAAGTATTTCCTAAATTGCTGCAATGAATAAGTGTGATTCTTTATGGTTTTACCCCAGCTAACACATGGATCATCACAGTGCTGGCCTGTCTTGGCAATGGTTGCGTATCCGCGGCCTTCGTCACCGTCTACGTCTTCACAGCAGAATTACTACCGACGACAACAAGGAATTTCGGCACGGGGCTATGCTCAGTTTTCTCTAGAGCTGGTAGTATCTCGTCACCATATATCAATGATCTGGTGAGTGATACATTTTCAAATGAAAAAGGGATTCTTGTTGCTGCAAACACAATTCTCTAAATGAAGGAGGAAAACATATTTTTTATCACAAACTTTGTCGTCTGGGTTTCTTTGGCCTCAGCATGAACGTCGCCACCCTCTCTGGCAACGTCTGCCTCAACTTCTTCCTGTTTGCTGTGGTCTTAATGATTTGTCTTATTTTCCCAATGAAGATCTTTTCCTGTTTCAGACAATGCATATCAGTGGCAGATACAGTCAGATCCTGCCTATGCTGATATTCGGGAGCATGACCACCCTGGCCGGACTCCTTTGTCTACTCCTCCCAGAAACATTCAACAAGAGGCTTCCAGAAACAATTCAGGAAGCAGAGAAACTCGGAACGTGAGTTATCAATTCATACATAAATGGGGCGGTCGGGTAGCCTAGTGGTTAAAGCGTTCGCTCGTCACGCCGAAGACCCGGGCTCGATTCCCAACATGGGTACAATGTGTGAAGCCCATTTCTGGTGTCCCCGCCGTGATATTGCTGGAACATAGCTAAAAGCTGCGTAAATCAAACTCACTCACTCACCCATACATAAATGACTCCAAACATTTGTGTTTCTCATCTCTATGCTCGGTTTCAATAGAAACAGACGGTCAGAAGAAATGATGTGCTGACTTTAGTGGAGCAGACAACAGAATGCCTTTCTGCATGAGTTGTGATATGTTATGAAATATGAATCTTGACACCAAGAGTGCTCATAAACTCACGGCATCGTGGTTGTGTTACATTTGTATTCATATTTTCAGATTAAGATGAAATGAGAGGCAATTAAAATAATTAAGGGGATGTTGGATAATAAGAGGAAGAAGGCACCTAATGTAACAGTTAAGTTTGTTCCTATGGCTGTTTCAGTTAGAATTAAACTTATTCATATACATTTATTAGTTAATAGTTTTCATATTTATTTTCATATTCAGAATGGCTTATGGGGAAGCGAATACAGATCCGGATATCACACTTCTTGCCGAAAAGGAAGACCACGACACTTGTCTTTAACAGACCACCTTGACACAAGTTCATGAGTCTTGGTTTTTAAAATACTGGTACATATTTACATATCACCGATATATTACTGATCCTGTTGTTTTATTCAGTTTTAAAAGACACCGTTTCTTAGGTGACAGAAGGGCCGGATTTGTATGATCGACTGTGAGATGAAATGGCGTTTAACGTCGGGTTCAAAATTAATGCACTTATATAGGGACATGCAAGTACGTGAGTGTGTCACATGAGGAACAAGACACTTGATGCAACAATTCATATTTGCACCTATGGCTTAGAGTTAGATTTATATTTTTTTCATTTATAATGTTTTAGTTTCCATCTTCAAAACATAATTGCTTATTGGAAAACAGATCCGGAAATCACGCTTTTTAGCGACCACAACATTGGTCATCTTGTCACAAGTTGAAAGGTCATTTCTAGCCTTCTTTTTAGATATCTTTGTAATCGGTACAATACAGATACAGGTCTAATTCGTGGTCAAGCTCGCTGACTTGTTTGATGCATGTCATCGTATCCCAAATGCGAGGATCGATGTCAAAGATGTCAATCACTGGATTGTCTGGTCCAGACTCGATTATTTACAGACCGCCGTCATATAGATATAATTTTGCTGAGTGCGGTGTTAAACAACAAAGAACGAACGAACGATTTCAAAAGACCATGACAATTTAGATCACAGAAGTGCCCGATTTGTAGTTTGACTATGGAACCTTCTTTTATCACTTTATTTCGTTTCTGTTTGGAACAGGCACTCTCTATGGGTATTGATATTTCATATTATCGGTGTTTGTAAACATTGGACATTTGATCAATCTTACCTGATTTAAATATACTGAATCGCAAAATAAACGTCACCATGGATAGATATATGAGAAACCTTATTTGTCCAAACACTGTAAACATACTTTGAGACATATTAAAAAGATGAAACGTGGCAAAAACTGATCATCAAGGTTGATATTAAAGTGTCAAATGTTCTTAAAGTGAAACACGACACGCATAGTCGCCTTTTACGACAAGTATTGGTTGCTGAAGACCAATTGTACCCCGGAATCTTCACGGGTCTGATGTATAAAAGATTCAACACTGCATCAAGTACATAATGGTGAGACTCATGAAGATAGAACAGGTCTTCAGCAACCCATGCTTGCCGTAAAAGGCGATAATGCTTGTCGTAAGAGGCGACTAAGGGGATCGGGTGGTCAGGCTCGCTGATTTGGTTGATGCATGTCATCGTATCCAAAGTGCGTAGATCGATGCTCCATGATATCAATCACTGGATTGTCTGGTCCAGACTCAATTAGTTACAGGCCAAAGTCATATAGCTGGAATATTGCTTAGTGCGGCGTCAGTGTTGCATCTAGTGTGCGTAATTGCGTAAATGACGCATTATATATGACACTGGCGCAAAATAAAAATAATGGTGCGCCACTTGGTACGCAAAAATTACACCGATGGCGCATTTTTGACATTACCGTGCGTATCAGTCTGTTAAACTTTCGAAAATCAGCTGTTCTTGGATACCGTATATCGCTGTGTATAAAGCGACCCCACGTATAAGACGACCCCCTGTACACGCCTTCAAAATCCGCCTATATACTCCGTGTATAAAGCGACCTAGAATGATGCACATCACAAGTGCGCACACAAACCTTATATTTGCAATAAAAATTTATATTTATCTTGTGTTGTTTTTTTCTACGATGATTGGTCCCGTGCGTAACTCCAGCACACGTGACCATTTTTTGTTTACACGGTGCGACACCAGATTGGTGCCAGTAAAATATAATTCATTTATGATGTAATAACATAAGAGACAGTGGTGAGTAATTTAATCGCCAATTAACTATGTTGTAACTAACTAGGCTTATGTTTGCTTCACATTCAGCGTGTTTATTCAACATTCACTTACACACACCGTCTCCAACAGTTGTTAATACAACTGTAAAATCAACAGGAATTGATTTCAGCTTCACCGGTTATCACATGTTAAGTCACATGTGCAATATGCAAATGCTTCCCGGAACTTCCGGCTCTCTACTCACGGATGTTGATTGTTTTACTGTGTCAGCTGGCTTGACAATCTGGATCGAGGCGAGGGTCATTGCAACTATATTTGCAGAAAATATTCAACTTTATTCAAGGAAAACCGATACAAATTATGTTTATGTTTGGAAATAGTTATTGGAACAGTTATTTCGGACGAAATGCAAAGTTTTATTGTCAAATGCTGGGCTGGATATCGAATGCCGCTTGACATCGCCAGTGGAAGCTGAAAGTGACACAACTGGTAAGTGAAAGATGGGGAAAACCGAAGCTAAAAATAGTGCACTTCTTGGAATTCGCTAGAGGTCGCTTCTATTTGCTTTTGGAACTGATCGGATGTGCAACGGAATCAAATGAAGCATAATTACGATTAATTTGATTGGTTAATGTTTCCCGCTAGGTGGAATCGGTATGAGGGCAGTCGTTTTGACACTTGGAATTAGGATTCTTTGTATGTTGATGTACAGTTTTTGTACCGCGTAAACGCGAACATGTCAGTGCCAAAGAAGCGTAGAATTACTGACTTTTCACAAAAACGCCGTCTGATCGGTCAACATTGGTCAGTGTGAATGAAATTGTGCCTCCTCCTTCGGAACACATGGTGGACAACATCGTGGATAGTTCTGATAGCGATAGTGACAGTGTGGGTAACAAACCAAACAGTGACAGTAAGAGAAAGTTTGTTCACAAGTTTAGAACTGAATGGCTTAAGAAATACGACTGGCTGGCATTTGATGATGAAACTTGCATTATGACGTGTGAACTTTATGGAAGGCAATTAAAAAAATTCGATGACTTCAATGTCATGTAGAAACTATCGGTCGTCTACGTTAGCAAGACATGTCAAGCTACCGGATCATCAGAATGCTCTGAAAAATCAGTAATTAAAGAAAAAAAATCTGTAGCAGCAGATACTGCCATTTCTCAGAAAACTGCAAGTATTATTTCTGCCATGCGTTGTGTTTATTTGTTATGCAAAGAAGTTGTGGCTACAATGAAATACCCTTCTTTGTTATCACTCATGAAGCTTCAGGGATGTGACAGTATTCAGGCATTAGCTGCAGGAAAAATGCAACATATGCATCAAGAGAAACGGCTGATGAATTTCAGGATACATTTGCTGAACTTATTGAAGAGGACATATACTCAAAATTGAAAGAGGGTGTTTTCACATCTGTCTTGATAGATGAGAGAACATATATTAACATAACCAAAAAGCTTGTTGTGTATGGACGGATTGTGTCAGACGATCTTGAACAAGAAACCCACTTTCTTGGAAATGTTGGAATGAAGAGTGAATGTGCAACTGCTGAGATCATCTATGATCATTTGAAATAATTCTTGAATTCTCGGCGCCTGGAAGTTAGTGACATATATGCCTTCGGATCGGACGGCGCCTCTGTCATGACTGGCAGCAAGGGAGGAGTGGCTACTCTTATAAGAAAGGAAAGCCCACATTGCATTAATATCCACTGTTTGGCTCATCGCCTCAACTTATACACATCTAAGGCAGCTGATGATGTGGCTTATGTTGGAAAGACATTTCAGAAAAATCTGGTGGACTTATTTTATTACTTTAAGAAATCAGCATGCAGAGTTGAGTCAGATGCAGGAATTACTTGATGATCCCCAGATCAAGGTTAAAGAAGTTCATGAAATCAGGTGCTTTGCATTGTACAATGCTCTCAACACAGTGTATAGGACTTGGAGATCTTTGGTCAAGTACTCCAAACAGAAAGAGAAGCCTACTTCAGCAGAGAAGGAACTACAAAATCTCACAGACTATAAGTTTGTGTTCATACTACATGTGATGATGGATGTTATCCCAAAGTTCACAGAACTTGTCTTCCGGAAAGTGGATTTAGACATCTCCTGTGTCCAACCTGCAATTGATGGCTGTTTGGCAAGTGTGAAAACAGCAATCAATGGTAAAAGCTACTATCAGCTGTTGCTGAAGGACAAACTCAGAGTGAACAGTGATAAGGAGAAGAAAGTTGCCACTGTGACGTACTGGGGTGAAAAGCTTTCAAACTATGATGTCAAAGATGCAGAAGCTATCCGACATAAGTTTCTTACTGGGCTTCAGGACAGAGTCAACAAGAGATTTCCAAGTAACAGCACATCTGTGTGCAACTGCCTTCAGTGTCATGGGCATGAGGAGTATATCATTCCTATCCAAGGACCAGCTTGACTTGTATGGAAGAAAGGCAATAGAAACACTCATCAATCATTATGGTTCAGACCTCACAGGTTCCAGTCGGCATCTCAGTAAGGCCCAGATTGACAAGCAGGCCACTCTTGGGGAATGGGATCTTGTCAAACAAGTTGTCATGAATGAAATGTATCCATTGGACAATTTCAAGACACTTTGGAAGTTGATACATCTCCATCACAAGTCTATGTTTCCAAATATTTTGATACTAGCCAGACTAGCGATCATCATGCCCTTACAGACAGCCGATTGCGAACGTGTTTTGCGAACGTTTTTGCCACATATCAAATATTTAAAGACTAAATGCCTGAAGGCCCTTGATTTATTGAAAGTCGTCTCAAATTCAAAGTGGGGAGGGGATCAGACAACCCTTCTTCACTTATATAGATCTCTAATTCGCTCTAAGCTGGACTCTGGCTCCATTGTGTATGCTGGAGCGTGCAAGAGTAATTTTAAAAAACCTGGATCCAATCCACCATCAAGGAATAAGACTTATGTCTATGTCGAGGCTGATCAAGCCGTTTTAAATTGTCACTCCAGTATATAACTAAAATACGTTTCAATCCTGCTTATGACTCCGTTTTTAATCCCCTCTTCGACGAACTGTTTCAGAAGAAACCAAAGCTGGTTCCTCCACTTGGAACTCGGCTCCCATCTCATATTAATGCTTCAAATTTAGATCTGGATATTATCTCTCCATACCGACATTTGACCTCTTCTCCCTGGCAGTTGGTAAGGCCGGAAGTAGACATTTCCCTCACACGTTTTATAAAATCTGACACTAATCAACTAGTATATCATGTTTGTTTGTTGTTTACCGCCGCACTCAGCAATATTAACAGCGCTAAAATATATCAAGAACAAATCCGAACATAAAGAATTCATTATTTTTCAGATTCACTTTCGTGCCTTTAGGCTATTAATAATATTTCATGTAAACATCCATTTTTAATTGAAATTCTTGAGTTATATAATGATCTTGCGACTGGCCAATAGACATCGTCTTTTGTTGGTTACCAAGCCAAGTTGGTATCACTGATAACACATTGGCTGATGCTGTCAACAAATCTGTGACACCACTTCTTATCCCATACACTGATTATAAACCTTTAGTTAGATCTTACATCCGTGATCTGATGCAAATGAGGTGGGACACCCAAGTAGGTATTAATAAATTACATGAAATTAAAAGACCCGTGAAAATTCCGGGGTAGAATAGGTCTTCAGCAACCCATGCTTGCCGTAAAAAGCGACTTTGCTTGTCGTAAAAGGCGACTAACGGGATCGGGTGGTCAGGCTCGCTGACTTGGTTGATGCATGTCATCGATCCCAATTACTGGATTATTTACAGACCGCCGTCATATAGCTGGAATATTGCTGAGTGCGGCGTTAAACAGCAAACAAACAAACAAGAATGAAAATAAACCAAATATACGTTACACCTACTTGGGCTGTCAGTCCAGATTTGAAGAGGTCATTATACGACGGTGTCGTATTGGCCATTCAAGATATACCCATGAATATTTGTTGAAAGGTGAGGGTCCTCCATTTTGTATCCCTTGTGATGAGAGAATCATGTCCTGCTTGACTGTATAGATTTTGCCATCACGAAGGATAATTATTTCACCATCTCTTTTTAATAGTAGTAGTCCTCATTTAATTATTAACTTTT